TTATTATGAAATTCAAAAATTAATAAAACATATTATATAATCCAAGCTCTAATATGAAGAACTAAAGTTGCACAGAAAAAAAAAATCTAGTTAAAAATAAAATTAGGTTAACAATTTCAATTCAACCCTATTAAATCATCTAATTAATTAAATGAATAATGATATAGATACCTTCTAATTTAATATATTTTACTAAACACTCATTTAGAAATTATTATTTTTAAATTTAAATTAAAAACAAAAAAACTTAAAATTTTAAATTTTAATATTGATTGGTGTTAGTAGATATGTTCAAATTTAACAAGGATATAGCTCAAAACATTTGAGTGGCTTTATTGCATATATGTTTTCGATCATAGTTATTAAGGATACTAAATATCTATAACTTGAACTAATACTTTATTTTCTATCTTTAAATAATTTCCTCTCGCATTTAATGCAAAGATTCATCTCTTTAGGCTTTTGGGAGAACAAGAACAATATATTTACGACACAGTATTTATATGCTTCCTCAACTGAGTTTACAACAATACTTTTAGAAGGGAGAGCTTTTCTATAACCATGAGAACCATCTCTTTTAATTATGCATCTTTTCTACTAATCATGCTTGTTTCTAGGTTACTAATTTTCACACCTTGTCATGGTTTGTCTACGTTACCCTTTTATAGTCTTTTGTTTTTCCTTTTTATCGTGTGATTTAACAAGAAAATCTTTTCCTATCACATTGAACTTTAGTTTCATATTGAGTTGCTAAGGTCATTGAACTTTAGTTTCATATTCATGATTAATTTGTCAATGACATAAAGGGTTCAATAATTTAAATTTAGAGTTTGAGGGTGTATAAATTTTGAGTGGAGAGCGTAAAGGAAAGAGAGAATTAATTCTCTCTTTGTAAAATTCAAAAATTGTCATGCATATATCAAGAGAGAATTAATTGTCTCTCTTTGTAAAATTCAAAAATTGTCATGCATATATCTTACCATGAATCAAATAAAATGCTTGGTTTATTACTAATAATCACAAAGCTTTACATTTTGTTTGTTGTCATAAGCCATTCTCATGATTATATTCATGTTTATATGTTTTAGGGTTTATACCTAAGATGCCGGATAGAAATCATGAAGATGAATTGTCGCCCCGTGCCAAGGACTATATCCCTAAAGAGAATAGAGAACTAGCTAGCTTTGTAAAAGAAGATGCACTTGTAAATGTTGCAATAGCCATCCTGAACAAGGGAAATATTTGCCGGGTGAAGATGACATACCTCCTAATGGCCTTTGTTACCTATTTTGTAGCAGTTGTCCAAAAGGAGGCTTTTGCAAACGTTTCAAAGATGGGCATCACGAGTGCCCCTGTTATTGTTGATCTCACCCATACTTAGAATCCTCAAGGGGAAAAAAGGATATGAATAGATCATTATGACTACGCTATTTGGATCAAATATTAAAACTATTTCTTATTTCTCAGCAATAAAAGAGTGAGATTATTCAATTACTCTTTTAAGTGAATATGGTTATCCGTTTGATGGATATATTTGGCCTCTTTCTTCTTTTTTTTTTTTATAGATCTCAAGTTTTGTAATTATGTACGGAAGAAAAAAAAAATTCTGTATGTAGAAGTTTAGCTTGTTTTATAATAGTCATATTTTATCAAATTAAAGATGCATGTTGATTCACTGGCCTCTCCAAGTGAGAAGAGTTTATTATAATTATTATCAATAAAAGTGTTAGATTATACACAAAATTTGCAAATTATATCTCTCTATAGCTATGTCAATCAATATATATATTATACTAATTTTTATTACTTGTGCGTTGTAGAAGTTATTCTTTAATTTTTCATATTATAGCTTAGATTCAATATTATTTTTATCACCTTCTAAATTTTTTAATGATTTTGTTATAAAAAAATTCTAACTGTGTGATTAAGGTGGATTGAAGATTGCGATTGCTAATTAACATAAGTAATTTTTTAAAAAATTATACAGAACTACGTTAAGAAGGAGGAATATTAAGAGAATTTAGAAAACATGATATTAATCTTTATTTCATAATTCCCTTCCAAAACTCCCTCCTCCTTATCTCAGAATTCAAATTTAAAATCTTTAACATGGAGACTCAATTTCTTAAACAGTAGATGTCTCTTATGGGACTATTTTTTCCCTTTTTTCTCCTCTTTTTTTTTGGTTCTATTATTATCTCATATAAGGATTCATATGATATTTTCTCTTCTTTCATTTAAAGAACTTTAATTAAATATGAACATTAAATCTTTCAAATCTTGTATTCAATTTCCTTACAATTAACAAAAAAACATGAATAATATTAAATAACGCTGTTATTAGAACTTAAAGGAAAGTTGAATCAAAACATTAAAATCATTAGTTAATTAATTTATTAACATCTGTCTTATTTTAATCATGCACAAAAATTAAGGATTAATTATTACTGAGATAAATTTATATCTTTCTCAATTCTTCCCTTAAATATTACTGAGATAAATGAGTTGAATTATTAAAAATGAGGTTCAATTACAGGGTTGACATGGGAGAGAAAAAATTAATATACCTTAAAAATGTAAAAGAGACCATTAAATATTGTAGATATATATAAACTGATATATAAAAGAGACTAAATTAATAAAAAAGGAGATTAAACTATTATAATATAGCATAGACTAATTGTTAGAACATTAAATAGAGACTAAATTTTGAAAAAAATTAATTACTAAACGAGAAAAAAATTTGCTTAAAAAATAAAAAGGAATACATATGATTAATTTTTACATGTAATAAATGTGCTTATTAATAATATTAGTTCAACTATTTTATCTACTCCGTATTTATTTTCTTTTCTTTCACTCCTTATCTTGCCCTTCTTAACTATTTTATCATAAATGTTTTTTAAGTCTAGATATAAATTATGAAATTATTTATGTATCCTTGCAAAATAAAATTTATTAAAGATATTTTGGTACTTTTATAATTTAAATTGAACTTTTTATGTATAGTCAACACTAAAGTTGTTGCATTCTCTTGTTTTATATCATTATTTTTCTCTTATACTGAAATTGACTTCATTTCTAGGTGGAGATCCTTATCCATTAAATTTAGTTTATGGTCCCTTGGTTGCATAATTCTCAATTAAATATTTAATTAACACCATAATTTTAGGGTAAATAGGAAAAATGCAAAAGATATAAGAAAAATGAAAGGTTGGTCCTTTAATTGGATCCTTTAGGCTTTAACTTCAATTTCTTTTTTAACCTTTCTTATTCCTAGTTAAAGGACCTAATGTTCTCTATTCCCTTTCTCCTTTTTCATTTTTTTCCTATTTAATACAATAGTAAAAGCATTTTTTATTGATTTTAAAAAGTAATTAATACACACTCAATTTTACACACTTTCTAATATTCATCTAGTTTGATTATTA